GCCCAGGTGTTTTGAGTCTCACCACCTCATGTGGTATTATACAAGCTAGATCATTCATTTTTTTCTCCCTGTATTGTTTGATAGGCAGATCATGGCACCCTGCTATCTAGGTACTGGTCATCAGTCCCTTGATTCAAGTATATGTGTAACAGCTTTAATGAGATATAATTCACATACCATATAATTCATTCCTTTACAGTGCACAAATTCAGTGGCTTCCAGTGTATTCACAGAGTTGTGCAACTATCACCATAATCCATTGTAGATAATTTTCATCACTACAAAAAGAAACCCCATACCTCCTAGCCTTCGGTTCCCAACCTCCTCCCATCAGCTCCTGATATTGACTGTTTTTTCTGTCTTAATAGATTAGCCTATTCTGGACATTTCATAGAAATGGAATCATGCAATGTGTGATCTTCCGTGACTGGCTTCTTTCACTTAACACAGTGTTTTCAAGGTTCATCGATGTTATCACATGTATTAATACTGCATTCCCTTTTATGTGGTAAAAGAAACATAACATAAAATTCACCATTTTAAATATTTTATGGTGTACAATTCAGTAGCATTTTGTTCACAATGTTGTGCAGCAGTCACTATTACCTAGTTCCAGAACATTATCATTCCTAAAGGAAAATCCTGACTCGTTAATAAGTCACTCCCCATCTCTTCCCTCTCCCAGCCCCTGGTAACTCCTAAGCTGCTTTCTGTTGCTATGAATTTGCTTATTCTGGACATTTCATATAAATAGGATCAGACGATATTTACCATTTTCTGACTGGCTTCCTTGTCTAGTATGTTTTCAACATTCATCCATGTCATAGCAAGTATCAATACTTCATTCCTTTTCAGTGTTGAATAATATTCTCTTGTAGAGACATACAGTGTCACATTTTATTTTTCCATTCATCAATTGAGGAATGTGTGTATTGTTTACACTTTTTGGCTGCTATTAGTAATGCTGCCATGAACATTCGTGTACAAGTCTTCCCGTTGACTTATGTTTTAATTTATCTTGGGCATATACCCAAACATGGAGCCTCTACCTTTTATATTCTCCTAGGTGGCTTAGTGGGTCCTTATGAGAATGGAACAATTTAGGACCTACACTCACAGGACAGCTTCTTAGGAAGTTTAAGGAACACACTGTATCCTTGAAAGAACCACAACAGATCCTCCAAACATGAAAATAAATGGAGAAACACCACATGGGGAGGGTAACTGGATCTTGTGTCTCCAACTCCTGTTCCCCAAGATTTACACCCTCTTGGGTTTTCTTTTTTTTTTTTTTTTTGAGACGGAGTCTCGCTGTGTTACCCAGCAGTGCAGTGGCGCGATCTCGACTCACTGTAAGCTCCGCCTCCCGGGTTTACGCCATTCTCCTGCCTCAGCCTCCGAGTAGCTGGGACTACAGGCGCCCGCCACCTGGCCCAGCTAGTTTTTTGTATTTTTAGTAGAGACGGGGTTTCACCATGTTAGCCAGGATGGTCTCGATCTCCTGACCTCGTGATCCACCCGCCTTGGCCTCCCAAAGTGCTGGGATTACAGGCTTGAGCCACCGCGCCCGGCCTAGTTTTCTTAACTTCCATGGCTGTCCCCTGCTGATGGCAGACTGGGCACAGCTCCCTCCCTTTGATGCTCTGACCCCAAATGGGCTCCATTCCTGTGATATGAGTGAGCGCAAACTGAAATTGTTAAAACAAGACTTTAGTAAGGCTTGTATTAGTCTGTATTCATATGCTATAGAGAAATACCTGAGATTGGGTAATTTATGAAGAAAAGAGGTTTTAATTGGTTCTCAGTTCTACAGGTTGTACAGGAAGCACGATGATCTGCTCGGCTTCTGGGGAGGCCCTGGGAAGCTTACAACCATGGCAGAAGGCAGAGGGGGAGCAGGCATGAGATATGGCCAGAGGAGAAGATAGTGAAGTTGGGGGCGGGGTGCTGCACACTTTTGAACAACCAAATATCATGAAATCACTCACTATAATGAGGATATCACCAATGAAATGGTGCTAAACCGTTCATGAGAAATCCACTCCCATGATCCAATGACCTTCCACCAGGTCCCACTTCCAACAATGGGGATTACATTTCAATATGAGATTTGGGCAGGGACATGGATCCAAACTCTATCAGGCTCCAAAGAAAAATGGGAACAGATCAAGATAGCACATACATAATAATGTGGTTTAAAATGCACAATGTATTCCCCTTAAACAGGGGTCTCGTCACTTGGATGTCCCCCCAGACACAATTGGATCCCTCCATGCCTGGACCAAGAGGTTGGGGCTCTGAGTGGGGCAGGAGTCCCGATTCCTGTCTATATGGTCCAGCTGGAAGATGAGCAAGACTGACATCCACTCACTTAAGAGGAAGTCTCACCCATTCTTAGAGGGCAGCCTTACCCATAGTCTCAACAATGTCAAAATGCCCGACATCCCATGAGAGATGGACACATGGCAGAGAGGGGGTGGTTTCCGTGCTATTATCTGTTTGGGACACTAGTGAAGGAGCTGGCCAGCACATTCTTTATAAAAGGAGAAGCTGCATCAAATGTAGTCCAGGCTGTGTCAAAAGAAGCCTATTTCTTTGCATGGAGAAGAAGTAAGAAAGTAATCATGTAGATAAAGGCAGAAGCAGCAACCTGAGACCTGAGATGGTACCTTATAGCACTTGCTAAGGAAAATACTTTTGTATGTTTTAGAGAAAAGATCTGACCTCTGCAGCTGCTCTTTGTGCCAGGTAAAGTGGATCCCAGTAACCTACGAATTTCAATGGCTCATTGCCTGCAAACCAGTCTCCTCCCAAATCTTAACAAGAGTCGTCCTGGTGTCTTATGTGTCTTATGTTCATGAACAAGTCTACTCCCTGAGTGCTGCCACTGTTCTTCAGGGTGCCATACTGTCTCTGTCATGCTGACAGGTATGATGGCCGCAGCACCAGACCCCTCAGAGTCCCCATGTGGTCTGCTGTGTGGTGGTCTGCTGTGAGGTGAGGAAAATGCACCGTTATTGGCAGAGCAGTTCCTTCACTCAGCATGACTACCTTCTCTTTTCCTACCACCCTTCCACAGGTGGTACTGTGGACAGAGACCCTGTTTTCTATTCTTTCATGATCAGTCAGGTGCGGCCACAATGGGGACACAGGGGAGGCACAGAAATCAGTTGACTGTGCTTCCAGGTCCTAGAAAGGCAGTCACTGTGCACCATGAAGGGGCCACCCTGCAAAGGGAGGGGCTCCACCATGTGAGAGGGGAGCAGAGGGAGTGGGGACCTGTGAGACAGTGCTATCACTGGGGGTCAGGGTGGACACAAGCAAAAAGCAGGTGGGGCTTCATCGGTGTGTTAAGCGTCTCTAATACTACAGGAAAATTATTCAATGTCAACTGTTAAAGCACAGGGTCTTAATTTGTTTTCTGTTGCTTATAACATAATACCTGCAACTAGGTAATTTATAAAGAAAGGGAATTTATTTTTTACAGTTTTGGAGTTGGAAAAGTCCAAGGTCAAGGGGCCACACCTGGCCAGGGCCTTCTTGCTGGTGGAGAGTCTCTGCAGAGTCTGGAGGCAGCACAGAGCACCCCATGGCAAGGGGCTGAGTGTGCCAGCTTAGGTCTCTCTTCTTCATATAGAGCTACAGTCCCACTCTGAGACAACCCACTAATCCATTCATCTATGAATGGATTACTGTCACACTGGGGATTAAGTCTCAACATGACTTTGAGAGAGGAAAAACATTCACACCATTCACGGCACACGGCTGACTTTATTGAGGACCTTAATGGTACAGGGACTACCACGATGGGATTCTGCAGTGAGGGGAGAAAGACTGAGCTTAATTCCCAATACAAGTGGAAATGGATAGCCAAGAAGCAAGGTGGGGGTGACTGGATGGAAAATTACTAAGAGATAACATGAGGGGTAAGGTGGGTACTGACTAATCTTACCTAATAGGCTTCTTGCTGAACACAGGCCAGGATGATCCAACATCACCTAGGGGATGGTGAGGGATGCGGAACCTGGTCAAATAATGGGGATGATCACATATTAGGGAGTGGTTCTTGCTAAAGTGACTTAGCAAGGCTCTTTGCTAAAGCTGGATTTTATAAGGAAGTGTGCAGATGGGCCTTGGAGGAGATTCAGGAGCCTGACTAGTATGGTAGAGCAAAGAATCTCTGTCACTAGGTCACAGTGCGGGAGGGCAGGAAGGGGAACTGTGGCAGGGCCAGCTCACCACGCTCAGGCATCTGGCCACCTGGGCGGGGTGGGGGATGGGGGGCTCACTGCCTGTTTTCGGTTTTGAGGCTGCAGGGAAGCATGAAGTTTTGAAATACATAATACAGGCCCCACGTGGTTCTGACCCAGCGCCACGCAGTTCTCAGAACCATATATTCTAGCCCTGCAAGCACCTGAGGCTTGGTTCCCGGGCCAGGAGGTGGTACCTGACCAGAGGAGAGCCGGGGCTGTATGCGGGGCCCCAGGGCTCAGCGATGGCTGAACCCCACAGTGAGAGCCCTCGTGGCCCAGGTTTTCCATCACTTTCCTGTCTCTCACGTTTGGGGCGCTCCAGATGAAGCTATCCTGAGGGGTGGCGTTTCTCAGGGAGGCGCCCCCACCTCAGCTCCTCCTGTCTCAGGCCCCACTTGGTGGGGAGCGCCGCAGGCGGGGAGCCCAGGCTTGCCCCTGCGGGCAGTCACCGCTGCTCTGTGCCCCGAAACCCCCCTCCCCGCCCCCCAGTGACCTCCCGCCTCTGGGGTTCCTCTCCACCTTGCTGCCTGCTGTGGCTTTAGAAGGGAGCTCAAGCTCAGCGGCATTTGGGGCATCTACTTTAGGTACTGGGAAATGGAAGAGGATGACACTGCTTATTTTGACTCAGATTTTCAAGGATGAACACACCCTCCCCTGATAACCATTTCCGCACCCGCGGGCCACCCCGTAGGGCCTTGCCCCGCACCGCGCCCGGTGGCCTCCCTGGAGGGCCGTGACCCAGGCACCGCACCCGGCGGCTTCCCCAAGTGCTGCTCCGCCCAGTGCCCGCAGCCTGAACGGCGCCCCAGATCTCAGCGTAGTGCCACAATGCTGCCCTGTCCCACATCGTGTCCTTTGACTCTGTCTTCAAGAGAAACGTCGGTTGCCAGGGGTCCTCACAACTCTTTGGGTGTGCTTTGGGCCGGAATGTATGTCCTCTTGCCCTTCTCTTACACAGAAGAGTGGGAGGGTGTCCTAAGAATTTGACTTGTCCTAAGGAAAATAAAGTTGTAATTTCAAGGAACTGACCAAGGTCTCCGTACTACTGAAGAGCTCAAGAGTGGCCACGGGGCAATATAGCCCTGGGTGCGAAAGGATCCTGGATCCTTTCGAAAAGCCCTGGATCCGCAGAAGGGATCCCATGTGTTCTGCATTAAAAAGCCCCCAGGGGACAGGAGGCTGAAGAAAGGGAACCTGCCACTTCTCCATAAAATAGTGTCAGAGAGCTGTCCGGGAGAGCAGAGGATCTGCCGATCAGACAGCATTTAGGAAAATATACCGATTCCTTAAATTGGGTTTCGATTTTTCAGCTTTTGAAAATATTGGTCTTCTTTAGGACAGGTTTGTGTACTTGCCAACAGTTACCAGTTATCCACCAGCAGACTGCAGGAAGAAGAGACCATCTTCACTTCCCTTCTGGGTAGGGAGAGCTCAGAGTTCACGAGGCTTAACCTAACAAAGCCCGCAGTGGACGTTCCTGCTGTACCTGTCCAAGGCGTGATAGTTCCCCGGGCTTTGGGCAACATCTACTGTGGGTTATTTCGTCTAGTTGAATCCCTGTGGTGCGATAAGGATGGCTCCTAAAGCATGTCGGCATCAGTAGTTCCTGGAGTGGATTTTCCTACACCGTGTAGGTATGAAAATTTGATGGGAGAAAAGACCCTAGGAAAGGGGAAAGCAAGAAAGTGGAGCTAAGGGATGCTGCTATAACAGTCATCCTCTTGTATCCGTTCTGCTTCCCTGAACTTTGAAGATACTTATGCTGAATACCCCCTTTAAAATGATTTTCTTCTACACTGTACCTTCCCATGGTCACGTTCTTGGTGGGGTGTGTTTCACATGTCCAGCACTGTGGGGTTGGGGGGAACACTAGAAGAGGTAGTGGGAAGCCAGACTTTCCCACATCACTCCACTGAGGCCACCTAGGCAGGAGGGACCGAGCCCTCCCTGTGCTCAGCACTGTGTTTTTCTTCATCATGTCACTTTTTACATTACATTAACGTGTATCTCTGCTTGCTTCCAGAAAAGTACCTACATCAGCTATGCTGTAATCCTTGCTTTTCTCACCCAATAACTGGGAATCCCCAGAGTGCCAAAACTATCTTTTTAATCTCTTATTTCTTCATCACCTAGTACCATTTGGTGCTCAATGTTCACTGAGCGAAGAAAACGGAAATAAGACATTTTCCTCAAGGAGCAGAAATGATTACACGTATTTGGTTCTAAACAAACAACAAAAATAAAGAGAACCAATGAAGACTGAAGTAAACCACATCACGATTATACAAATGGAAAGATCTGGTTGTTTGTGTCCTTTTTATAATACATACTATGCTCTTTGCTAATTAACACTGGAGGACTCTTTCTGGTCGATAAAATACTTGGATAATTAAGTATGCTTTCATTTTATGTCCCGGTACCAAAGAAGTCCATTTATTCAAAACAAAGGGACTGAACATAAAACATAAAACATAAAAAGAAAAAAAAAAAAAGGCCTGTGGCTCCTCCTCCCAGACACCCCCCTCCAACAGTGATGAATAGGAGGGACTGTCTCCCTCCCCCTCCCTCGGAGACTAGCCTTGCAGTGTTTTAGGCTGTTTTGAAATTCTGTTCTTTAGAGATTTTTTTTTTCTTCTTCTTAATATCAAAGAACTGCTGCTATTCCTTCGGGCTGGCGCAGCAGGGGCCGGTGAAATGCAGGCTGACGACCGCGCGCCAGGGGCTGTGCTCGCCCCGGTCGGCGACGCGCACACACCTTGAGTGACAGCGACTTCTTCTCTACAGGTTTTCCCCGCGGGAGCGTGGCCCTTGCGGGCGTTCGGTTTTCTCTGGAAATCGCCAAAACGGCTAGCCGGGCGCAGCGATTCCGACCCGGGGACTCCAGCCCCGGCTGTGCGCGTCGCCGCGGACGGGCTCTGCGGGCCACGGGGAAGGTGCAAGGAGGCGCGAGCAGGCTGTGAGCCGCCGGACGCTCCCTCGAGCCCGCTCCTCCCCCCCGGGAGCAGGGCAGAGGCGCCGGGAGCAGGGCAGAGGCACCGCGCCCACCGCCTCCGCGGCCGCCTGATGTGCCAGCAGCCCGCAACGAGGCAGTCCCAGCGCAGAGGCCCCGCTCCTGCTGCCAGCGCGCGGCCTTCCTCCTCCTAGAGGACGCTCTCTGCGCGGGCCCCGTGAGGAGGCGGCGGCGGGGCGAGCCGCAGCGCCGAGGCAGGAGGTTTGTCCCCGCCCGCGCGCCGTACCGCGGCGGAGATGGGCGAGACCATGTCAAAGAGGCTGAAGCTCCACCTGGGAGGGGAGGCAGAAATGGAGGAACGGGCGTTCGCCAACCCCTTCCCGGACTACGAGGCCGCCACCGGGGCGCTGCTCGCCGCCGGAGCGGCTGAAGAGACAGGCTGTGTTCGTCCCCCGGCCACCACGGATGAGCCCGGCCTCCCGTTTCATCAGGACGGGAAGGTGAGTCGGCGGCCTGGCCGCAGAGGCGCCGGAGGGGGAGCGCGGCGGTGGTAGCGTCCACCCTCCGCCAGGCGTGACGTCACAGGCGCGCGCCGCGCTTGGGAGGGCCTCGGGCGGGAGGGCGCAGGATGGTAGCCGCTGGCACCTGGCTCCGGACCTTCGCGGTGAGCGGCACGTAGGGTTCGTGGGCTTCAGCTGCGTGAAGCACATTCCAGCAGTTCGGCCCTCCTGGCTCTGCGCGCCTTTGAAATGCGCGTACAGTGCGCTTTCCTTCTTGGTCCGAGCGGCGGTTCGCGGTGCGGGCTTGTGCACCGGTGAGGCCCGCGGACACTTCCCGCCGCTCGGCTTAGGGCTCTGCCGGCCACCTGCTCCTCACACCTGGCCTGGAGGCTGGCTTTCCTTGGCCATGTCTGGTCCCTGGGCTCCCGCTGACAAAGAAGCATTGTCCATGTAGATTTATTACTGTCTCTGTGCCCAGGAATGGGAAGTGGATGTAAGGGGAGGCCAAACTTCACTTTCTTAGGCTCGCGAGGTGGGCCACAGCGTTATATTGACATAAAACAGATTAACAGGAGAAAAACAAAATCTCTTGAACATGTTATACGTGAAAAAGACACAAAGAAGTGGCGAAACCCAAATACTTTCATGCTAGGCAGAACCAAGAGCGGCAGCTGTGGGAGGGTAAAGTGTGCGGAGAGGGTAACGGAAGATGGAACTGTTTGAACCACGTCTGGGTAGAAATCTCCGCTTTTTCCGGCCGCGTTGCCGAGTGTTTCTTTGTCCCTGGCGTAGGGAGGCCATCTTTTACAGCTTTATCTCCTTTTAGGAAGAAAAGGGGGCAATTTAGAACATTCTTCTGGTTTTTCAAGTGCCTTTAGCTTAAAATAATGCTTATGCCAGAGACATATTTTTGGGGTGGCATATCCTGTCAGCTTTCACGGGCTGTCTGAACAAAATCTAAGGTGGGAGGCAAAAAGTGGAAATAGAAGATTATCAGCACAACTGTTTTCATGCTTGGTAAAATCGTACCTTTACCAGGTTTTCTTTTTCCACTGAGGTACGTGTTCAAATGCCCACTTCACCTCCCTGGATCCCCATATTTACATATTTGTAAAGGGGACAAGTTGGCTAAAACTAAGAAGGTAATTTTGAAAAAGCTATTGGTCTGAATATGGAATCTAAGGCAAGTGACTTCTGTAAACCTCTCTCTTCTTGAATGTGGTTAAAAACTGGAAACAGGCCGGGCGCAGTGGCTCACGCCGGTAGTCCCAGCACTTTGGAAGGTCGAAGCGGGCTGGTTGCTTGAGCCCGTCAGTTCGAGACCAGCCTGGCCAACATGGCGAAACCCCGTCTCTACCAAAAAAAAAAAAAAAACACACACAAAAATTAGCTGAGCATGGTGGTGGACGCCTGTTGTTCCAGCTACTCGGGTGGCCGAGGTATGAGAATCGCTTGAGCCTGGGAGGTCGAGGTTGCAGTGAGTCGAGATCTCGCCATTGCATTCCAGCCTGGGCCACAGAAGCTAGATGCAGTCTCAAAAACAAAAGCAAGCAAACCTGTGGGAACAAGTCCTAACTCGTGGGGATGTGTCTGAATTAGATGAAGCATATAAATTGCCTAGCAGACTGCCTGATGTGGTACCTTAAGTAGGGTCTCAAAAGTGTTAACCTCTTCCCACTGATGATTTAAGTTACACAGTTTACGATTCATATTCAATATTGGTTTTTCTCTAGATTTCTTCTATTTTTACATACAAATATGTGTTTCATTTGTGACTTAGTGTTTCATTTTTTAATAACAAAAATAAAGATCTGGCAAGCATTGAAGAAACTGCATCATTCATTCTTATTACCAGTTGCCATCTCAGTACTATCCTTGGAGTAAGTAGGTTACAGCAAATGTTTAGTGAAAGATGAATGAAATGAACTCTTGACATGAGAATAATAATAATGATAGAGACATGGGAATCAGGTGAGTTTCATTTGCAACTTCACAGGAGATAAACACTAATTGAACTCAAAGTTCTGAAATTGCGTATTTTTCTTTTTACCCTTTATATCTGGATAAATGTGATTTTTGACCTCAGCTATATACCTGATTTATGTTGAATAGAAAATTAGACTACGGGTAACTAATGGGGCTTGTGATATCTCTGCAATGAAATGTTAAGTTGGGGTGGGGACCTATGCCAGTGGTTATGAGTATATGCTAAAGAAAGGATGAAATGGACATCATATTGTTGTTGAATGTGAAAATGAGAGGGATAGTGAAAGACTGCCTCTTGATAATTGGAAAGTCATCAGATAAAATGAATATGAGCCACTGTCCTCCCTATTAATATTTTTATGATTGACAGATTAAAATTTTGATTTTAAAAATAAGAATGCAATTTGAGGATGTCAAACTATGCCTTGTTTTTGTAGACATGAAATTTCAAGAAAATGAGAATGTTATGAATTGTGTCCCCCACCAGAAAAACAGGTATTGAAGGTTGAAGTCCTAACCCATTGGAACCTCAGAATGTGACATTTGGAAATAAGGTTATGGCAGATGCAATTAGTTAAAATGAGGTTATACTGGAATATGATGGGCCCTTAATCCAATGTGACTGATGTTCTTATACGAAGAGAAGAGAGCCGGGTGTGATGGCTCATGCCTGTAATACCAGCACTTTGGGAGGTCGAGGTAGGAGGATCACTTGAGGACAGGAGTGCAAGACTAACCTGGGCAACATAGTGAGACTGTGTCTCTTTTTTTAAAAACAATTTTAGAAGAAAGAGACATAGGGAGAAAGAAGATGGCCATGTGATGATGGAGGCAGAGATTGAAATTGCCAGTCAACACCAGAAATGAGAAGAGGCAAGGAAGGATTCTCCTCTGTACGTTTGATGAGGAGCATGGCCCTGTTGATATGCTGATTTTGGAATTGTAGACTCCAGAACTATGAGAAAATAAATTTATGTCGTTTTAAGCCACCCAGTTTGTTGAACTTTGTGGTACCCCTAGGGTAACTTGTTAATATGTAAGTTAAGCATTGAATAATTTTCTCTCCCATGATGTTACCCAGTAAGGATTACAAAAATCTACCAATACAATAACATTTTATTACTAAGTATTCTTTAAGTCATTTACTCTATCTCATTTTAGATTGGCTGCCTAGGTGTGTGGTGTGATCAGTCAATAAAATTAGCCTCTGATTCTAAAACCACTCAAGTCTGCTTCTCTGAGCCATATTTCCATACATTGGTATTTATAACATTTTTTACATTATTGAGCCAAATATTATGAAAAGCAGTGAACCAATATAGTAGCAGTTGTTTTCAATTATGGAAGGCCTCTGAAGCAGACACTCTTAGTTACTCATCTAATAGCCGTTTCCTCCTTTTTACTTGATTTTGTTGTGACTGTGGACTTAAGGGGAATTGAGCCCAGCTCCAGGAGCTGAATCATGATTAATCTCTGCCAGTGATTCTCAAAGTGTGATTCTTTGACCGGAGCAGCAGCAGCTTTATCCGATGTTCAAGTCCATCCAGGAGATGGATACCATGCAGAGTTTAATAGGAAAAGTTTAACATAAATAATTGTTATGAACTGTGAGACTGGAGTAATGCGAGATTGTCTCATGAGAAGGAAAGAAAACTCTGAAGAGCATAGGAATAGCAGACAGAAGGAGCAGCCCCACCCCTAGGGCTGAGAGGGCGCTCGAGTAAAGGCCCCTGTGATTAGCTGTGTTGCTGTGTAATAATTATCCCAACACTTAGCATCTGTATAAACACTTATGGTCTCATGTAGTGTCTGAGAGTCAGGAATCCGGCTGTAGGTTAGCTGGGTGGTTCTGGCTCATGGTCTCTGGAGAAGCTGCACTCAAGCTTAGCCAGGGCTGCTGTCCTTTTAAGGCTTAACTGGGGCAGGAGAATCTGCGCCAAGCTCATTCACATGGTTGTTAGTCGGCCTTGCTAGGTGTTTTCTGGAGGCTTCAGTGTCTAACCACATGGGCCACTCCTTAGGGCTGCCTCATGACATGGTGGCTGGCTTCCCCGAGACTGAGTGATCGAAGAGAAAAGTGTGCAAGAGCACCCAAGATGGAAGCTGCAGTCATTCTATTTATTATGTAATCTCAGAAGTGACATACCATCACGCCTGCCATATTGTATCATACTAGAAGCAAGACAGGAAATCCAGCCCACGCTCAAGTGGAGGGATTATACAGGAGCGTAAATACCATGAACTGTAGAGTGCTCAGCCAGGGCTGAAATCTTGAACTCGTTAGAGAGGGCATGGCCATACCTCATTCGCTGGCAGAGAAATTGCTGTGATACTGCACCATTGCTAGAAGTGTAGCCTCCTGCAATGAGTGTTACAGTAAGTGACCATATATAAAGAATATCTTGGGGACACACGAGAAGAAAGAAGACATGTTAATTCTGCCCATTCGCATCAGGGAAGGCGTTTTACATTAAGATGATACTTGTATGGTCCTTGAAAGATTAAGTGGGGGTTTACCAGGCTCAGGTAGGGAACTCCATGAGCAAGGACTTAAGGGATACCACATTATGAGAATATCGAGGAGTACAGCATGACTGGAGAAGTGGGAACGTGAATGGCACTGGGGGTAGTAAGGCTGAAGAGGGTGATTGGAGTTGATGCTGAAGGACTTGATGGATTAAAAGGATTCTTTTAAAATGAAATTTAAAATTATATATTTAAGGTATACCACATGATGTTATGTGATACATATAGTTAGTAAAATGGTTTCTGTAGAGAGGCAAATTAATATATTCCCAATGTCACATAATTACCCACTGTTTTTTGTTTCTGTGGTCAGAGCAGCTGAAGTCTATTCACTTAGCATGAATCCCACATCCAGTGCATTTTTATTACCTGTAGTCCTCATGTTGTACATTAGAACTCTAGACTTGTTTGTCCCACATATCTGCCATTTTGTATCCTTTGACTATATCCTCTCCTTCCTCCAACTCACTGCCTCTAGTAACCGCTGT